TTTTTTAATGAAGAATTGAAAGGCTAGTATATCACTGTTAAAAATTTATAACAATAGTCAATATAAATTATATAAATAAAATATATATTATTCTTGATTTATTTTAAATACATTTAAAACATGAATACATATATGTATAAATAATTTTCAGAAATAAAATAATATCAATGATAGAAACCCAAAAACAATAATAATGATATTTTGGGCCGCAGTAATCTTTAGTTTAATAAATAAGCCCATTAGATTTGTAGGCTATCCTTGTTTCCAATCATTATAATTTTAAATACATACTAGATTTTGACCCGCGCGTTTGTTTTCGTTTATAGTTAGTTATATAAACATTTTGTTTTCACTTGTAAATTGGTATATATTATAGTAATCACATATTTACGATATGTATAGTAAATGTTTTTCAAACATAATAATATTATATAATACGTGTTTTAATCAAATAGTTTGTTTCTAATTTTCTATATTACACATGTTTTCAAATATGTGTTTGTTTCTTCTTCTACATTTTATTGTTTGTTAGATTAATATTTCATTTTTAGATAAAGTAATATAAATAGAGCTTGATTAAATATTAGTATACTTTATTTTGCAAAGATAATATAAACTTCAAAGAAATTTTTGCTAAACACTAAACTTATAGCCTCATAAATTAATATTATAAAAAAATTTATTAAAAAGAAATTTTGTAAACGATTTCTTTTTTTAAAACAATATAATTTTAAAATTTTACATCGAAATAAATTTATGTAGTATATATAGCGTGTAAATTTTTTTAGGGTATATAAATTTTCCATATTACGAATCTATGATTTTGTTAATATATTGTAGATGCATTTAACTATTATTGACATATTTCCTTATAAATAATAGTAGATTCCTAAACTTATATCTATTAACATATTTTGTGTGACTAAGTTAGAAGGTGTGGGGTAATTTACAAAAACCAATTTGTTAAACGTATCTTTGTTATTATAGATATGATTTTTTATAAGATATAATAATGATAAGATTATTAGAGAGTTAATGTAACATGACTTTCTAGTAATAGTCCATTTTTAAAAAAAATCACACATAAAATCAAGTCATGACTTCTGTTTTAATATATAAGATTCATGTTTCCAAACATTAATTTTTTATACTTCAGCTTTAATAGTATAGATGCCTAAGCATTTCAGACATGAAAAATTAATTAATTGGATAGTCACGCTGTTCTTGGCAATAACTTATGTTCAAGTAAAGTTAGAACAGCTTCCACACAAGCATTGACAGAGGAAGATGAATTTGCCTTTCATGATTAAGGTATACCATTTTGACATTAGTCTGTTACTTATAACATGAATATTGCTCACATGAACACACCATTTTGAACATAGAAATGTACCATTAATGGAACAGTTCCGAGCCTAAATAGCATATTATGTTGTGAGACGCAGGACTCTCAACCGTACATTTTATTGTAATCGTAAGGTATGAAAATAATCTGAATATTGCCTCTGATGTGTAAACTAAAGCATCATCGTCTGATCTTCACATAAAATGCATCCAAGGACGAGACCATTTCTCAGCATCTGCCATCATAACCCACAAGTCAAAATGTATTTAGTAAAGTTCCATAGGCTAAGGTCACTTTCCCTTGGTAGTATGGAGCGGTTTTCTAGACTCAAACGGCATGCAGTCTCACTTTGTCTGTGACATTTCTTTTCAGGTTATCAACCAGCATTCCAAAAGAAAATAAAACAGAATCTATTGTGCCAAGTATTTATGATGAGGACAATGCAGATGGGTTTATTTTTGGTTTTCTAAACATAACCATTCTTATTACACAACCAAGTAATTTGATTGGGTCGGTTTAGTTTGATTTTCTGAACCCTCTCCACCTGAATTTCCCGGATGGCCATACTATAAAGCCTCTTAGGCCGCATGTAGTTCTTCAACAAGAGGGAGCAACAAACAACACTAACCGAAGAAGCAGCCATTGCAGCACCTGCAATCCATGGAGGAAACCTGAACGAGTATAAGGGAAAAGCACCCCCGCTGCGATCAATATGCTCGTGAGGTTATACCCGATAGCTCATACGTAGTTGAGACGGATCGTTGAGAATGTATTCCTTGAAAGATCAATGGCTGAGATCACATGTTACAAATTGTTTTTCATCATGTAAGTGGCTACATCAGTTGAACACTGGCATCTACGTCGGCAAAACTAGATGATGTGGTGATTGGTGTATGATTCGGTCAAAAAAGTAAATAATATGTGTGTTATTTAACTTTTCAAAAGTATATATATGTTTTTTGCATGGTCATATAAGTTGGGTATGAATTAAACATATCGCAATATGTTGGATTTGAAGTGACTGTTCTCCCTATAAATTACACACATGTGACTTTGTTGTGTAGTAGTGATGTTTTCTACTGCTCCTCTCTGTATTTTTCGGTGGTTTGCTAGAATAACTTGGCTCTACTTTCTTTTGCCAGTTAAGATTTTGTAAACTTTGGTCTCTAGTTTCGTTAATTAAATGTTTAATTTGTAATTGTGTGAGCATTATATCTTTGATGGGGTTTCATTTGATGTCGTTTCCCTGGATATCTTGTTTTCAGACGACTTTAGCCGTGTATACGGCTCTAATCCACAAGTGTTAAAAAGTGTAGCCTGCAAAACTATCTACTCACAAGTCACAAGTCATCACCACCACACGATGCATGAGACATTCTAAAACAGCTTCAACTTTTCCGAAATCAAGAAGTCACATCAGTTTCGAATATTCATAACAATACTCAAATAAACAAACTACATTTTTTTTTATTAATGATGAAATTCATATAAAATAATATTACAAATTTTTCGAAATCTTATGGAACAAACTATCCATTGTAATATCGAAAGCATCTCGAAACCTCTCAAACTTAGAAGTGGAATCTCCATAGACCAAACCAGGTAAAATCTCTTGGACAATATAATTCCTCATATCCTCTCTTTCCCTTAGAGTCACTGACATCAACTTCTTGATCACATTCAGTTTCTTGGCCTTTAAATCATCTTGGTTGATATACACCGAGTATAACCGGTGATCCTCTGGTAAATGCCAAGAGTACTGATAATAAGCTGTGAATGGATCAAAGAGGACCGGAATACAACCCGAAACTAGAGAATCGAAAACCGATTTCCTTGTTGCACTGTCTCCAGGTGGCTGAAGACAGAACTCTGAATCTTGGAAAAGATCGATAACTGATTCCGGTTCATTGCAACCTCCATTGGCACAGTTCAAAAATCGGCATTGGTCTGGAGATGATAGGCATTGGTCAATCAATGTTGATCTGATGCTTTCAGGGTTACCGGGTCTTGCTCCACCGGCAAAACTGATGAGACTCCGGCGAGGTTGTGTAATGATTTTGTTTTGCCAGCTAGAGATATCATCGTCGGTTCTCGGGTGAAAGAACGTAGGATGGGGTATGGCAATGTCGTTGACATCCCCTGCGTTACGTTCGATGAGAAGCTTTGTAGGGTTTTCCATTTCTTGCATTGCAAGTAAACTTGAGCCCCAAGAAGATTTGTTTTCCCTCCTAAAATCCCAAGTGATCTTTCCAAGAACGAAAACATGATCTTTTCCATAGTTTTTCCTCCATGATTTTTTCGATGCGAGCCATTTTAGTACCTCGATGGCCAAAACATCCTTCACATCATTAGAAACGTTCTTAAAATGCCATCTCAAAACATCCATACCGCCATAGTAAGGCACATAGAAGAGCTTTGCTTGATTCTCGTCATAGACTCTACATGGATGCTTCAAAACTCGGGAGTGAAAGATAGGCTCAAGAGAATACTGATGCGTATTAAACCAGCCTTTACCAAGCTTCTCAATCGATTCACCAAGCCCATCGTTCTTGAAGAAGCTACAAAAATTGACCCATGGAACCATATCCGAGCATTCTCCCAACAAATCTTTGTTGAATTTAGATGGTAAATCGTATACGTAGATACCTTGTCCTTCACAAGAACCTTGTTTATTGCGGTTGTGTCCCATCGAAAGCCAAGATCTTTGTATCTTAAGATACTTGTTCACGGCCTTTAGAGCAGTCTCCTCGACTTCATCCTTAGGTCGAAAGAAATCTTGATCAAGAAACGATTCAAGATTCTTATCATTGATGAGTTTAAGGTCTTGGTCAAGATCAGAAACTCTTTCTCCTGTGGAAGTTTCTGAGTCTCTTTCTCTGGCGAAAGATTCATTTTCTACGAAACTCTTTTCTCCACCTTCACCAAGAACATCGTCACTTTTTAACACATTTTCACTAACCAGTTTAGTGAAATTGCTGACCGGTACATGTAAACCGGGCTGATGAGAAGCGGCTGTGAGACAGTATAGATCGTTGAGCTTCCGCGAAGAGATGCAAATAACGGTGGTGGAAGTTGAGAAAAGATAAATTAAGAAGGGAAAGAGAATCATGAGAGGAACAAGATAGAGAACTGAACTAGAAAAGACCGAACATGAAGTACGATGATCTTTAAGTGAACTGTCCTGTTTCTCGGTTTCAGTCTTTTCGAATGTTCTTGGTCGTCTCTTTGAGACAGAGACAGTCATTTTCTTCTTTGGTTGTGTTTTGGATATCTTGTTTGTGACGTTTTATATATATATTATTGGTTGAGTGACATACAAGCAAGGACGTTCAGCTAATAATTGTATTTTATGACCAACCAATGAGCCTGCACGTTTTGGTGTTGTTATTTTTTTAATTACTGGCTGGTGATGGACGACAATGAAGTCAACAATTGTCTCCCTCACTAAACCCTCTCTTGTATGTATGAATACCAACTTAAAGTCAAATAATTCCTAGCAAGAAAGAAGAAAAATACTACAAGGAAAAATATTGTTCAACAATTGTATCCTTCACTAACCTCCTTCTTTTAATATAAATAAGATTTTGATCTGCACTTTCAAATGATAGAACTATTTTATTTACAAAATTTCACTTAATATAAACTATAATTACGTTCATAATTTATTTATTTAAGTTTTATATAACTTAAAATTTATGTTTATTATTTATTATAAATTAGGTTTGAATTTTAAAAATAATTCTAATCACTATTCTATATTTTTTTTTTAAAAATTTACGTATATAAAATTAGATGATAATAATCTATAATAACATTTTTAGTTTTATTGCATGTGTATAAGTTTAAATTTAAGTATAAAATTCATGAGATAAACAAAAACAATAATTTGAATTGTTAATATTTCACATTTTAAATTTGTGAAGAGTAATTTTTAATACAAAATAAAAAATATATTTATAGTTATTATACTAACTAATCAGTACTTAAACTCAATGTCATAATTTAAAAATTTATGTTATTGTAACAAACTAATTATTAAATTTATTTGTTACAACTGTATTATGTTTGAACTTATACACATGATCAAATTATTGTTTTTGTTTATTGTTTTTGATCTGCACTTTAAAAACATATTAAACTTCCTATCTTTGCACTGAACTTTTAATTTTTTTTTTATAAATTACTATAAATATTAAACGTCCTATATCGAAAATTATGTTATCAATGATTTAAACAATTGTTATAAATATACAAATTGTCATAAAACCATATGAGTATGAAATTTCATTTAATAGATAAACAAATTAAAAAATACTATATATATATATATCAATGTTAATATCACTTAAATTTAATTATATAGTATCAAATAAAATATCAAAAATTAATTGTTTGAATTTACTTATATAAAGTGATTGTAATAAATAAGAGTGATTGTTTTGATTTATATGCTTGCGCTAATTTACATATATATATATAATAGTTATTGATTTCTGAATTATTGAATATAAATTTATTATTATATAATAAGTAAAAACATAAAATAAATAATAATAATAATAATAATACGTAAATTAATTTGTATGTACAATGCTCATTCTGCGCAATACGCATATCCTAACCTAGTTTTAAATAAAATGTTAATTTATCTTTATTAGTTATAAATTCAAGAAAGAGTTATCTCATTTGTTTTCATAAGTGTCATTTTAACACTTTTCTATTTATAAAAAGTGTCACTTTACAATTTCGATACAGATTATATTTATTTTAGCTAAAAATTAATTGAAAATTGTATTAATTTTATTGATCTCAAATATTATTGGTCAAAGAGGTATAACTAATAACATTTTACATATATTTCGGTGATTTTCTTAATACGTGTAAAAATGTCAAAGTGACACTTATTCATAAATGGAAGGAATAATATAAAGGTCGTTATTAGTTTATTAATTGGACCAAGGCCAATATTTTAGTTAAACATGCCTAAGCATTTCAGTGATGGAAATTTTATTAATTGGACTAAAGCCTATATTTTAGTTAGTTACGTGTTAGCGTTTCAGACATGGTAAATTTATTAATTGGAGTAAGGCCTATATTTTAGTTAATTACGTCTTCGCGTTTCGGACAAGGCGAATTTATTAATTGGGACTTGCGCTGTTCTTGGCAATATTAATGTCGAAGTGAAATTAAGTACAACTTCCACAAGATCGGACAGCGGAATGTAATTGGCTCACATGATAAATTAAGGT